GAGAGAGAGAGAGAGAGAGAGAGAGAGAGAGAGAGAGAGAGAGGGAGAGAGGGAGAGAGGGAGAGGGAGAGGGAGAGGGGAGAGAATGTTGTACATGCTTATATTTCTAAATGTAAGCTGAGAAGAGACAAAGGCTCACATTATTTTTTGGGACATCATGATATGAGCCAGGGGCTTGTAAATGAATGAAAGAGAAATGCTGACAAAGTCTTGGCAATCTGAAAAGTACAGTTAAACCATTAAATCAAAGAAAATGACTTTGCTAAGACTTTGCTAGGGTGGGATTTTTCCAATATTTGGGCAAATGTCATATAGGTAAACTTGAAATTCAGAGTCCTGGTGAACATTGAATTTGTAAGTAACATAGTGGTATATAGAAGTGGCACCAAAACTCTTGTACTGCTGATGGGTTGTTTTAGTGCTGTGACGATGATTGTGTAGATAAGAAGAACCAGTGCTGATACTTTTAGACAATGAATTGGAATTTCTTACCAGGCACCAGCCCCTTAAAAAGTTGCAAATTTCTTTATTCACTGGTTGTTATGCCTAGCATGTTCTCAGCCATTTGATTCCCTTATCTCTGCATCCATAGTGAAGAGTCTACAAGATTGTAATCACTTCCTTGCTTCATAATTCTCTTTCAGTGTTTCTTAGAGGCGATGCAGAAGTTGAACCAGACTCTCGCTCTTTAACCAATACACTCTTTGAAAGAACTCTGCTTCCCAGCTTGGCCTTGAGCTAGCATTCCAAGACTACAGATGTGAATGACTCCTGATTCATTTTTGCTTTTAAAACTTCTTAGCCTTTTTCTTCTAGTAGGTTTTTGGAGGTCTAAATTAAGTTTTTTAATAGTCACATATTTTGACCCATTTAATTATACTTATAATTCAATATAAGTATTCTGACATTCTGTTCTTTTAAAACTATTTAGTTTGCATGGAAACTTGCAGAGCTATAAGTTATTAATTTGCTTCTTCTATTTGTTTTCCTTTTTGGTGTTCCAGGGGCATTCAGTGGCCTTGGGGTATTTGGTTTCCATCTGTTACAAGGAAGGCATGTGTGTGCAAGGGTCAGCAGATACTGCTAATATGTTTCATTGGGAGCAGCAAACTTCATATTTGGAATAATGGTTTTTAATAGTGTAGATGATTGTTAAGCATAATTTCCTTTTCATTATATGATCCAATTAATGAAGGAAATATTAGAGGAGTAAATGTAATGTTTTAGATGAACTAAGTCTGTGTTTGCTTTGGAGAATTGAGTGTTCTTGCGTATCATCATTTAAAGTTTCCACTTTTGAAACATCCTCAGTGAGCTATCACATGAATTAAAAAGTACCTTTGTTTTTGAGCCATAACAAATCCTGGTCATTAGATACTCCTAGATCAGCAGGGGGAACTTTCATTGCAACTAATGAGCTTACTCGACTGACAATTTTCAAAAATCTACTTCATTAGGATGCTTCTTTTCTAAGAAATAATGGCTTATGGCTTTTCTGTTGTGTTTCACTGAAAATATTTTGGTTCATTATTGTATTTCTGTATATCATGGTAATATTTCTTTCTTTTATGGAATTCTAAGGGTTGAATATATTTTTTCCTGTCTACATAATTAAAATTAATCCTGTCTGTGAATGTTTTTGTTTCCTACCTCCCAGAAATCTGAAAAATCAGAATAATTATTAATGTTCAGAAAGTAACAAAAACTTTTGTTTGTTTTTTGAGGGGCCAGGTTAAAATGAAACTAAGGTGAAGCTGGAAAGATGGCTTAGTGGTTACATCCTCTTCCACAGAATCCGGGTTTGCTTCCCAACACCCACATTGAAAATCTGAACCCTTGTAAAGGCAACTTCAAGGGATCCCATATTCTTTTCTGGCCTACACAGCCACATACCTGTTCCCTGAAATCTTTCTGCCAAAGCCACCGAGCCCCACTGCCATATGTGCGCTTTACCTCAGCCAGCCCAAATTAATACACAGAAACTTGTATTCGGTACAAATGCTGCTTGGCCAATGACTAGGATTTTCATCTGTTAGCTCAGACTTAATTATCTTAAATCTATATATTTTATTATAAGACTTATCTTATTGGACACCTTCCATTGGTGCCCTCCCTTGCCCATGGATCACATGGCACTGCTGGAGGAAGCGAAGGGGGAAGGGGGCCCACTTCCTGCTTATCCTTCCTTAAATATGAGTCTCCCTGCTATGTCACTTCCTGCTTGGATTACCACTTCTCTACTACATTTCCCAGAATCCTCTTTGACACCTAGTCCTGTCTAACTTGCTGCCTCATTGGCCAAACAGCACTTTATTCAACAATCAATAAGATGAACATACACAGAAGTATTTTCCCCATCAGGTACCCAAACTGTCACACAAATTCACATGATTAAAATAATAGAAATTTTTCAAAAGCTATACTTAGTCTATAGTATTATATTGGTCTGCCTTTTTGGAGAGTGATCATAACTGTCTCATATAATGGTCCATTTCTTCCCTTGTTATCTCTCACTTATACAAATGGCATGCTGGTTATGCATTCATCCACTCATTGAGTAAGGCTATGCTTAGAACTTTTATTATATCATTGGTCTATTGTATTCTTCCTCCATTTTCTTGCAGTATAGCCTATCTATCATAGGCTGACATGTATCCCAGCAGTCTTCTCCCTTGCCTATTAATTGTTTTCCTTCATTTTCTTTGTGAGCTCTACATATATATTGAGCTCTCTTGTTTCTTCCCTCAAAGAAACTTCTGTGGTTCTCTCTCCCATCCCCAACAACATAAAAGCCATCATTTGTAATGACTTACAAATTTCCTTTGGACACTTTCATCTTGCATCACATCTGTGCCTTCCACAACTTTTGCTGTTCTTGTGTAAATCAAACAAGTATGAGGATCATAGTAGGCCACAATATGACACTACACTTTTAATTTCTCCTTCCAAATTACCTAATTGAGAAAACTTTCTTCTGATTTGTTTCCCCTTATTTGTTTTTCTTTATGGCCTTTAGCAATTCAATGCAGACTGCCTAGTGGATTCTGCCTATTGAATCCATGAAAGATGAAAATTGCGGCCTGGAGTGTTTGTCTAGACTTTCCTTCCTTAGCCTGTTTGTAGTAAAAGGCATGCTTGCTCCCTTTGGTGGCTCTTTTGGAGCTTATTGGAACCTCACATAAGTATGTAGCATTTGACTGTTCCTTACGGATAAATTCATAGATCTTACATCACTGTTTAAAAACTACTATACTCTAAACTTTTCCTGCATTTTTGAGAATGGAATTTACTCCTGGAAATCTATTCACAGAAGAAATAGCCTTCTGTATGTTATCAAATGGGTTCAATGAAGCCACACTTCTAATTTTTTTTTATGCCTGTAGTCTTACCACTTAAAAGGATCCCTTGATGTGTCATTTTGATTTCTTTTCATCTTATTTAATATACTTCTTTCTGCTACTTAGCCTCTATCTATGCTTCTAACTAGTAACTCCTCCATCTGACCCAAATAGTTATCTGCTAAATATATCTCCTGCTCTCTAGTTCCTCATGCATTTCCAACATTTTATGACAAATACCTTACTAAATACCAAATGTTTATCCTTTATTCACCTACTGTGAGCACTTAGAACACTTAATTTCCAGGTGGTTGCCACCTGGAAACTGCATCATGTTGGAAAATTTCACATTCATCTTCTGTAGCCAGCATACAGGTTTTTTAAAGACTTCCACAAACTTTGAGCTGTTGCCTCCCCAAAATAACAAATATTATCAGCAGGTAGTCTATAATTTTATGATATTTCATATTAATAGTTCAGTGTCATGTTCTGCCCCCAAAAGCAGAGTTAACATCACAGATAACACTGTTCATTCAGAAGAGTAAGTTTTGGAGGTGATTTATAGTTTGTAACTTTATATTTTGAGTGAGACATATACAGTTCATT